CACAGCTTTTCAGAATTAAGGAGAGTTGTTTTTTTTTCCCCTGAGTAATAACTACCAATTCAAAGGTTTCTAGCGTTTTAAACCAAATGACCACGTCTCAGGGGCATTTATACAGCTGCTTCTGTTGGCTTTCTTGTTTGACAGAGGACAGTAGAGAGCTATGTGGATAAGCGTGTAGGGGCAACGTACGGCCCCCCAGCGGGAAAGAAGATGACGATTTTTATTGATGACGTGAATATGCCCGTCGTCAATGAGTGGGGAGACCAGGTATGTGGATCCTGTTATACACGTTTTTCATTCAGCTTTCCATTATTCTTGGACAAGTAAACATTTTTCTACGTTTTTCAGCACGTAGTCTTTGAAGTCCAATAACGTCCGTGACTTGGAAGTTTTGGGGTATAAACGATTGGCCTTATATTTCTGAAAGTTGTCATTTTTAGGTGACTAATGAGATTGTACGGCAGCTGATGGAACAAAACGGGTTTTATAACCTGGAGAAGCCTGGCGAGTTCACCAGCATCGTGGACATCCAATTCTTGGCGGCCATGATTCACCCGGGGGGTGGACGCAATGATATCCCTCAGAGACTCAAGCGGCAGTTCTGTATATTTAACTGCACTTTGCCCTCTGATGCCTCCATGGACAAGATCTTTGGTAAAAACGAATGAAATGGGAACTGGGGGAAGGAGGAGCACCTGCTTCTGTTCCATGAAATACTTCTCTAGAGGTCAACCCCGAAGGAGTAGCGGGTGTCTCTTGTCCCCGTTACCCTCAAGTTGAGCATTGTGTCTCACAGAGGAATTTACTATACAGTGGACTATATTGGATGCCTAGGTAGACTGTCTACATAAAATTTTCAACATTAAGTAACTGTTGTTAGCTTGGGAGGGTAAGCATTTAATGAACATGGAGTGGATGAGAGTTTTCCTCATGGAAATACTATGAGTTCTAACTTAATATTATACCCCACTAGAAGTTTGTGTAGCTGATATTTTAACCAACCTAAATAATAGTTTTGGCTAAAAGGAATGATTTTGCATACAACAGAGATTAGCCAGAGTTTGGTTTTCAGAATAATTTAAAGATTACAAAAAGTCAGTGATTGATTAAATATGTAGTATTTCAGAAATAATTTCCTGAAGAGACACTCGTTGCATAGATAACCATCATTATTTAACTGAGTAATGAAAATGAGTTTGTAACTGATTATGGAATTATTCTTTGTGAAAGAGTGTAAAATTATGTATGCATCTGTGTTAGGTATTAATTTACCATTTTTGAAACTGCTACTGAGAAAAAACTCATTAGGATTACCCTAATTAACTTCTGGCAGGCTGAAATGTCAACCTAGTGCTTTCGGCTAGTGGAGGATGGCAGTTTCTCCTTTAGTCACAGCGGTGAGCCAGGTTTGGAAACAGATGACAGGTGTAGCTAAACCTGGGCGAAGTAAAATGGGCCAGAAAGAATGACTGATCACTTTTAATTATTTCTTTTTGCATAAAAAGATTTCTATAAAGTAAAAGGACAGAAGAACATTATTTCAAAAGGACACCTGCATCCCTGTGTTTATTGCAGCACAATTTACAGTAGGGAAGCTTCAGAAGCAACCAGATGCCCCAAAATAGATGACTCGATCCAGAAGATGTGGTATATTTACACAATGGAATATTAGCCAGCCATCAAAAAGAATTAACTCATGTCCTTTGCAGCAACATGGATGGAGCTGAAGGGATCATGCTCAGTGAAATAAGCCAAAAAGAAAAGGAAAAATATCGAATGGTCCCACTTATAGGAGGAAAATTGAGAAAATAAAGAAGGAATCAGAAAAAGAAGTTACTATAATAAAGAAAAAATCAAAATCACCAGACAACTATAGATCAGAGACACTCTGCAGGGGAGGAGGAGGGAGAAGGATGAGGACGGGGTGGGAAGAGCACAAGGGACTGCAGTGATGGTGCACGCGGGGGTTGGTGGCGGGAATTTCACAGGGAAGCCATACATTATACAAAAGTGAAGGATGATCTAATGAACAGATTAAAATAATTTTTAAAAAGGAAATGATAACAAATTATAGTGCATGAAGAAGCAACAGCAGAATGGAAAAATTTAGAGAATTTATGAAACCTCCTTTTCTTACCTTTGTATACAGAGTTCATGCACTTATTGTCACTCATTTAACAATGCTGATTTAGTGCAGCCGTTTTCAGGAGTATGCCTTCATTAGTCAGTGCTTCAATATTTGAATTTTTGCTTACTTGAACCTAATTTTTTTCTTTAGGTTTTTAAAAGCAAGGGAACATTGATAGAAATTTCTATGGCTACCTATGACAGTGTCACTTTATTTGTGAAAACTGCCCTCTGTGATGTTTTCATTTTAAGCTAGCTGATTTGAGCTATCAAAGAGTCACGGCTTGTTTCTCCCTCTAGGTGTGATTGGAACAGGCTACTACTGTGCTCAAAGGGGTTTCTCAGAGGACGTGAGGATCTCGGTGATGAAACTGGTTCCCCTGACACGCTGTCTGTGGCAGAGGACTAAGATGAAAATGCTCCCGACTCCTGCAAAATTCCATTATGTGTTTAACCTCCGAGATCTTTCCAGGGTCTGGCAGGGTATGCTGAACACTACTTCAGAAGTTATCAAGGAACCAGATGTAAGTGATACAAAGAAGGGAAGAGAAATATCAATGTTACTAGTTATACAGTCTGAATATTCTTGGTAACATCACTCTTAGTGGAATTATGAAAATATATTTTGGGATGTTTTAACCTGGACATTACCAAATTAAGACTTTTTATCAGTTTCCTCATACTAAGTGATAAGCCTGGACACACATTTATTGTCCTTGCTGTAGGAACAGCAATTGATTTCTCCGCTTCTAGTTAATTTTGGGCCCTTGCTTAGGTATACTACATGATTTCTTTGTTCAGATCATCCAAATTTGACCACAGACTTTGCATGCCTATGAGAATTGTTCATATACCACATTTTCATACTAGTAGTTCGCAGTACTATTATGGCCCGCCCACATGAATCCCCCAAATCTAATCTATCACAAGCTAAAGGCCGCTACATGGAATATTACACAGAATATTGATCAGAGTGATTTTAGTATTTTTGTCTAGGGATGTTCTCATTTAAAAACATGGTAAATTAGTAACTGCTGCTTTCCAATGGATGTGTATAAGTGGAGACAGTTTGAAGTTGAGTGGCATCAGCCTAACTTTTGAGGATGGAGCATCTTAAGTCAGGAAGAACAGTCAGCTTGAGTCCCAACTCTGGCTCGATAGGAGCTGAAGAAGCATTTGAATTCTGCTTTCGACAGGACTTGCTGAGGTTGTGGAAACATGAGTGCAAACGCGTGTTAGCGGATCGTTTCACGGTGTCTGAAGATGTGACCTGGTTTGATAAGACATTAGTCAATTTGGTGGAGGAGGAATTTGGTGAAGAGAATAAACTCTCAGTGGATTGTGGAGTTGATGCTTATTTTGTGGATTTCTTGAGGGATGCACCAGAAGCTACAGGTAAACTCGGAGGGAAGAATCTGAAAATCTCGATAGGGCTAGCTACAGACAGAAGAGATGTTGAGTTTCTGTCTAGGAAACTGTATGGCAGCCAGCCTGGGAGGTAATAGGTGCTCAGTAAATGCAGAGTGAGTAGATAAATGCATGCTTCTGGAGCTCAAAGACAAACTATTATAAAATGCATTTCCATCTTGGATAGCAAGGTAAAGCTGGGAGACAATTGCTCACTGTCAGATTGTAGAGCAATTGAAGAAACTTCTTTCCCTCAAACCCAGGCGAAACATCGGAGGAAGCTGATGCTGAAATGCCCAAAGTCTATGAGCCAATCGAGTCTTTTCACCAGCTAAAGGAGCGCTTGACTCTGTTCCTGCAGCTGTATAACGAGAGCGTTCGTGGGGCCGGCATGGACTTGGTGTTCTTTGCAGATGCAATGATTCACTTGGTCAAGGTCAGTGGTCCCCAAAGTCCAGACATTTAGCTTTGCACCAGAATCCCCTCTACCTGTCCATTTTCATCTTCTAGGAGAATACTCATTTCAAAATTAATGCAATGTGATCATCTAATTTAATTTTAAGCTGAACACAACATATCGCACCTATAAACTTAACAATTCGAGCATGTGTACTTCAAATGTGTGATAAGATAATTTTATTCAGTGTTGCTACACAGCTTCCAGCTCAATGTTTTCATCACATAGAATGAATGTGGTTGACATCTGAATTTAAAGCACAGAGGGAATCTGCTGATTTTTTGTACCATGCAAAGAATAACTATAAAAACTGGTGCAAAGACTTTGAAGACATTATGCCAAGTCAGTCACAAAAGTCATCTGCTCTATGCCTCCACTTACACGATGTGCCTGCAGTGGTCATATTCACAGCCTGAAAAGAGAATGATAGCTGCAGGGTCTGGTGGTGGGATGGGGAGGGTTGACTGGGGTGAGGGAAGGCGGGGGTGCTTACTATTTTTTAGAGATTTATTTATGCGTGCAAGAGCTGGGATGTAGGCCAGAGGTGTGGGGGTGGGAAGATGGTGGTGAGAGGATTCCCCAGAGACAGAGCGGGGAGCAGAACAAGCAGATCTACTGAAACACACTGCTGAGGGGAGCAGCGGGGAGACAGGAAAGGTCTGTCGTGCCATGTGGGTCACTGCCTGGCCGGGGATGGAACTCGTGCTGCAGCACGCTGAGATTTAACCTCTTGCACCACCAGCGGGGCATGTTTATGTTACAGGGCACCCCAGTGTGAACTGGGCTGCCTGTCTGTGGGTCCCAACTTGCGCGCTTAAAATTCATTTGTACTGCAGGCACACACAAAAGGGTCAATAATGGGTTTATTTACAAAAAAGGGAAAGGAAAAGGAACAACCCAGAGAGAGATATAAGGTAACTAGAATATCTTACTGGCTCAGCTGACTTAGAGCTCTAGTAACAAACTAACTGATAGCCCCCGTCACGCGGTCCCGAGAGCCGTTGCCTGAGCGAGAGTACTGTTGGAATATGGGTCCTATTTATCCCGCAAAGTCCCAGAATGCCTGCTTAGCTCCGCCCTTGGGTCCTCGCAGTTCTCTCCCTGGTGCTGCTGGGAGTTGTAGTTTCCAATCCCTGGAGCAGTGGGTAGAGTCCAGAAAGCTGGAGTAGGGGGTGGGGGCCACAGACTCTGCAGAGTTCCTTTAGGACAGCCTTCCCCTTAACATTTAGGGAGGTGTGGTGGGGGTGTTTAATACAGGTTTTTTTTTTTTTTTTAAGGTGGGTTCTGGGGCCCGGGGTGGGTCGTGTTAGCACACAATGAGAATGTGTGCCACTGAACACAGCACTTAGCGATGGTTAAGATGGTCAATTTTATGTTATGTGTATTTTACCCCCATACGAAATAATTTCAAAAATAGTGTGTGAACTTGGGGCTCAACGAAAATCCTGTTAGCATGAAATCTACCACTATGGTTTCCTTTCTATTGTATCATCAGAGTCTTTCAGGCTCCATTCTGGGTCGGCTAACCCTCAGGGATTGACAATAAACTGTGCTGCTTATTTGATGACGTAGGTGACGTAGGTGATCTGTGCTGGAAGATAATGCCATTTAAAATACATGGTTGATACTGTTACTCAATGATGTCCGTGACCTTTCTAGGTGACATCCTTTTAGTTAGAAAGGAGGCGAGTTCAGGGTGTCTTCCATTACTTAGATTTACCCATGAGGAATGAACTCATAATTACAAATTGTCACTTAGTCTTAGAAGGTTTAGTCTTAGCAGGTTTTAAAGGTTACTTACCCCCCTTCCTCTGAAATGAAGGTGTCCAGGAAGAGAGAGAGGCATCTGTGTCAGGAGAGAAAGGGTATTTTGGGGTGAGGATTCCCAGAGGAGGACACTTAGCTTGGAAACGAAGTAACCGGAATCTGAGCCGCTTGCACTGAAGTATGAATGTAATGTACTTCTAAAGCTACATATATATGACATTTTGAAGCTAGTTAATGTATAGTTAAGTATTTTAGGAAGAATAGACATTGTGTCATCTATAATCATTAAAAAGAAGCAAAGTTAAAGAAAAATGGACTTTCTGAATAAATAATTACCAATAGCAATTTCATAGCAAACTGTCTACCAGAGACAAAATCTGGTCTTGGCCTGGGATTTTGGAGCAGTTCAAATAGAAGATGAAGTTTTGTTTTTTAAAGATTTATTCATTGATGCATACTAGAGCTGGGGTAAAGGCCAGAGATGTGGGAGGAGGGGTGGTGAGAGGATTCACCAGAGACAGTGGGGAGCAGAACAGGCAGATGGACTGAAATCCACAGCTGAGGGGAGCAGCAGGGAGACAGGTGAGGTCTGCTGTGCCATGGGGGTCACTACCTGGCTGGGGATCGAACTCCTGCTGCGAGTGGCTGCCAGTAGCTCCACAGTGCTGTGCTTTAACCCCTTGCACCACCAGGCAGGGCCCTGACGTTGAAGTTTTTGTGTTAGTCTATGCTAAGAGGCCCACTGGATTCTTTTTGCATGTTCTGCAACCCAGATGCTGAGCTTTGAGCAGTTCTCCATTTTGTGTGGGTATAACATTAGCTTTGGCCTGTGACAGCCCTTCCCCTCTCTAGCCTTTCAGGTGTCTGTTTTGGGACTGGTCAAGAGCCTGTAGCAAGTTTTAGATTTAAATGCTGCAGCCACACTGCCAGCCCTCTCCCCTACATGCTGGTTTTCTGTGTACAGCAGTACATCTAAGTCCCGTGTCACGCGGGCACGAGCCTTGAAATTCATGACATCATTACGAGACGTGATAGCAGCCAAGAGACAGAACTGAAGATGCAAACCACAGCCAGGCGGGTTGTGCTATGAGGCCAGGCTTATTTCTCAGTTCCTTCTTAAGTGAAAACAATGCTTTTCTTTCAACATGGAGATATGTCTCCTGCTTTTGTGGTAAAAGTTCACACGATGGGGCCCTTTCTGGTGGCACAAGGGGTTAAAGCGCAGCACTATGAAGCTGTCACCAGCCACTGCAGCTCGAGTTTGATCCCTCGCCCCAGAGGTGACCCACATGGTGCGGCAGACCTCTCCTGACCCGCCCACTGCTCCCCTCAGCAGTGTACTTTGTCAATCTGCCTGTTCTGCTTCCCACTCTGTCTCTGGTGAATCCTCTCCCGCCCCTGCACCTCTGACCTGTATCCCAGCTCTGTATGCATAAATAAAATATCTTAAAAACAAAACCAAAAAATTACTTATTCAGGGGATTAAAGGAACAGCTATCTCATAATCCACATAAAATAGGAGACAGCCCATTTGAATGTTCTATTTGTGTTTTCTCCCATACTTTTTGTTTTCAGCAGGATTGAGTGCAATAGACCTAGACCCAGTTGCAGGGAACGATGTTGGGATGAATGTCCCCAACACCCAATTAACAATTATTTAAACCCTGGATGTTCTCCAGCATCCAAAGGAAATGTTTGCAATAAACCCCATATTAGTAGGGAAATGTTGACGAAGGGAGATAGATTCGACATAGGTTTGCCGTAGTTCCTTACCTGACCTAATGGTGCCTCTTGAGGTGTCATGAGAAAGAGGATGTGAACAGGCATGGGAAAATCCCAGACACCCTAGTCAGGGTTCCTCTTCCTCTACCTGCAATAGCGCCGGAGGGAATTGCTCGGGGTGAGTTAGCTGGAGGCTAAGCGATCCGGGTGTATGACACAGCATCCATAGATGTGACTCAGAACCTACGGGTGCTGTCAACAGGAGGCAGGGATGGGGCTTGCATTTTCCTGGGGTCACACTAGGTTGGGGGGAATGTTCCAAAGACAAGAGCAGTTCCTCTTACAGAGCATAGCCCCTGTCAGCAAACGGAGACCCCGTGGCAGAGGCATTTAACAAGATATTGGCAGATAATCTTCTGTCACCCCACGAAACTTCCGTTAACCTATCAACTGACTCCTGCCATTCCCCAGTTCTAGTCTATCATGGTCTATAGCAGAGTGGATCTCACAGCAACACCCCAGGCTGACTGCAGGAGGATAAATAGCACCCCTCAGTGTGACCAGGGCAGAGAGGTCTACACTGCATCCCCTCTGGGAGGGCTGGGCGCTTCATGATGTGCATTGCTCACCCAGTATTAACAAAGCCACAGAAGCGCGGACTTCTGCCAGGAGGGCACCCCTGACGGGCACAGAGAGGACTTCTGGTCCACCTTGGTCGATGCTTTAGTATCATTGTCTTTGTCCAATAGAGGAGGTTGAGGATGTTTTTTATAATTACTGCTGAATTTTGTCATCTGTGTCATTTGGAGAATTCTCCTCCTTTAGTTTAAATGCTGCCAATTTTTCTAGTATAGAGGATATTCTAGTCAACTCTGTGTTCTGTAGTCCAAGGGCAGGTATTGCTTTGAAATTTCAGGGCTTTTTTCCCTATCCGACAGCACTAGGTTGGCACAGAAAGAAAACCTCAACATCTCTTATTTCTATCGTAGGGAACCCCGAGCAAGCCATTCTGGGCTGTGTGCTGCCTTCTGTGTACTGGGCCTCAAAGCACAGTCCATTCTCTCTCCCCTTCCCAGCCTCCCCCCAACACTGCTGTTTTGGAAATACCCTCATCGGTCCAACCATTGTTTTTCTCCATCCTGAGCCAAGACACCAACATCTTTCAACATCTGTATTGACTAAGTAAGGATGAATGGAAACTTCACATGTTGAAAAGTCAACCTTTTCTATCCCACGCTTTAGATCTCCCGTGTCATTCGCACCCCCCGTGGAAATGCACTGCTTGTTGGGGTGGGTGGATCAGGAAAGCAGAGCCTGACGAGGCTGGCCTCCTTCATTGCTGGCTACACCTCCTTCCAGATCACCCTGACCAGGTAACAGGCTGCTTTCACTTTCACTAACCTGAAATGGGTTTTGATAAAAGGTTCACAGATTGTTGCCTGCAGTTAAAAATGCATTTATCTTTATCAGGAATTGGAGTGCTGACCGACTGTCTTCCCCTCTTCACTTCTGATATAGACCATGGAAATTTAACATTGATAATTGCTTTTGAAACATGCCAACCCCTCACTGCAGTGAACAGCTGCCTCCCTTTTTTCTCTGCTATGTACAATATGGAATGACGTGTGTTTCCCTTTGTGTATCTCAGGAGAAATTTATCACTGCGCATGTTAATTCAGACTTTAATGATATGAACACACTGGAAAATAGAAGAAAAAATTATATTTGTTTACACATTAAGTTCTATTTACTGACCAACTATTGTCAGACTCTGGGTGCTGGAGGGGGTGCTTGGTGTGCAAGGAAAGTCAGGTCCTGGCACCATGGAGTTCATGTTAATATTAAAGGAAGACAGGTAACTGGGCCACTCGTTTCATACGGTGTCATATGTGGGGTCTAGCGACGCTAAATAAATAAACCAGACGCTGTTGATGCCCGAGGGAGGGACTCCTAACTTAGTCCCGTAAATGGTTGGAAAAGACATTTTGCATCAGCCAGGACCTGATATGTATCAGAATTGTCTTAGAAAGGGAGACCAGCAAAATGTTTTGAGTGAAATGATGAATGCAGGGGAAGTCACATTTGAGGCGTTGCAGGAAGTTAGATATGAGTGGGTACAGCGTGTAAGGCGACAAGGAGGAAGGGAGAGAAACGGAACCTTTGAGGGTGTAAGGATTTTGGATTCACCTGAGAGCAATAGGGAGACTTAGCCACCAGTAGGGGGTACCTGTCAGATTTGTACGTGCAGGTACGGATGGAAGGCGATAAACTGGAGTAGTTTTAAGGCTGTCTCAGCCATCCAGGCAAGATGGTGCAGTCATCAGTGATAGCAGTGGGAATGGAGAAAATAGGACAGATTCAAGAGATCATCAGCAGATTCGAACTTTTGGGCCTGATGCATCCTAGATCTGGAAAACCAAGCTGCTACTCGTCAAGATAGGGAATCTCGGGTGTGGGTGTGTAGTGCAGGGAGAATTAGGGAGTGAAAAGTGAACTGCAGAGCTAAGCAGATTCAGAGAAGCCAAGCAGACTTTCAGGATTAACCAAGACAAGGTGAAAGCCTAATTTGGGCAGTGCAGTTGGGCTTACATTATCAGAAGTCACACACACGCGCACAGGCACACAAACACAGTCCTTCCAGTTTGTAGATTGAAGCAGGATTATTTAAAAAAGTGATTAAACTCTTCCATTTTTGTCCCCAGTATTTGTAGACTATAGTTTGCAAGACACTTTTACAAACACAAGCTAATTTTATCTTCAAGAGAACTCTGTGGGTTATCCGAGCATATGGTATTAACTAGTCTTATATTTAAGCCATAGAGAGGCTATAATTTGTCTGCAATCCAAGATCTATCTGGGAATTGACCGCAGGGTTTCTGATTTCTGGTCTGGCTTGACTTTCACTCCATCACCCTGCCAGTCGAGATACCTTGTGTGTGCTCTCTCTTTGATAAATTAGTTCCTTTGCATGCCTTCCTAGGAGTGTTCCCTTGGTGATGAGAAGGGAGGGTCAGACCTTCCTGACCTTCTGTGGTCTTCAGGAGACCCTCTACTCTGTAAGTCTTTGCACAGCTATGTGTTGAAGGCTTAGGAAGCAAGACTGTCATGTTTGGGAAGCCCAGCATTTGCCAGACGATGTAGGTCGTATTATTTAAGGCAACAGCCAAGGATGGATATGCTGGAGGCTGGGGTCAAATTTTTCTCATATCAGGAAAAAATTGGATGAGATATTTTCCATTGCTGCTTTTTGAAGGGAACTATGTCTTTGAAATTCTCTTCTAATCTCCCTTCTCTAAAGTGATATATGAGGCTGGTATTTCTGGTCCCAGGGGTTAGATTTTTGATGTTATAAAAAGCACAAAGAAGTTAACTATGTAGTAGCTTTAAAAACACGAAAAGGCCGTTTGCTCTGGTGCTCTGAATTCTGAGCTTATATAATGACACAGAGTTCAAGTAATGATTTAGAAAGTTTGAATCTCAAGAGTGGAATATTTTTATTTTCACTCCTGGTGATGATGGACCGATACTGTGGCTGCTGAAGCATGTCATGATTGCAAAGGATTGCCTTTGATAGGAAAGAACATTTAGAAACATTTCATAACACTTCTAACTGACTACAGTATGCTGACCACTCAGTAAACCCCTTCATGTGGGATCCAAAATTGGAAATGAAAAATGTTGTGCGTGGGAAGGGCACCACGTGATGGAACATTCCCTTCCCCACTCAGTGAAAGCTTGAAATGAGTCCATGTAGTTTAATTTAATTTATGCAGCACCTCTAAAGTATAACTTGCAGATGTGTGTTTCTTAAAAATTCAATTTGACTTATCTATGTAATTACAACAAATACTTTTCGAGGGGAGAGATACACACTTTCGGAAGACATTTCATTGTGATAAAATTTATATTTGTGTTTCAGGGTAGCTTTTCACTAGATAATTTTGTGTGTGTAAAATATTGATTCTAATATCTCACAAAATGTGGAGTTTTCAAAATCATGTCTTCATTGCAAGTAATATAATGAACATTCACATAAAATAAATGCCCTATCTGATGGAATAATGTCAGGGTTTTGACGTTTTGTTCACTAAATGGCATGAAGCAATGTTATAAGTTTCTTTCTTTTCCATCAAAGTACTTCAGCTAATGATACACAATAAATATTTCTTAGGTCTTATAGCACATCGAATCTGATGGAAGACTTGAAGCTCTTGTATAGAACGGCTGGTCAGCAAGGCAAAGGAATCACTTTTATTTTCACGGACAATGAGATTAAGGATGAGTCATTTTTGGAATATATGAACAATGTCCTGTCGTCGGGTGAGGTAAGAGCTCATTTATACCTCAAGTGTTTTGTCTCTTCAGATTCCCTCCTTAGAGCTATTTATATTTTCCTCCCATCAGAGTACTAAATATTGCTGGTCCCGGGGAACAGGTTATCAGTCTGAAGAAGGTTTTTTTTAATTGAGTTTTGGAAGAATAAAACTCCCAATAAAAATGTGCCTTCAAAACTTGAATGAGGCCCTCCCTGGTGGTGCACCAGGTTAGAGTGCAGCACCATGATGCTATCCACAGCCACTGCAGCATGAGTTCGATCCCCAGCCAGGGAGCTGACCCTCTTGGCACAGCAGACCTCTCCTGACCCTCCCGCTGCTCCCCTCAGCGATGTGTGTCAGTCCATCTGCCTGTTCTGCTCCACTCGGTCTCTGGTGAAGCCTCTCACCACCCCTGCACCTCTGGCCTGCACTCTAGCTCTTGTGTATATAAATAAATAAATCATATTATTTTTTATTTTTTTACATCATTCTTCATTTTGTGCATTTTTATAATTAAATAAATCTAAAAAAAAACCCAAACTTGAATGAATATTCTAAACAACAAAAGAAAGCAGAAGGTGTTAGCAGATTCTTGATTTGTCCGTTACCCCTTTTAAGAGTTACGACTTTGTAGTTATGAAAAGAGTGAACGTGTGTGTATTTTAAACTGTGATGCATCTCATCTTGAGGACTTCTGGTTATATTCTGAAGGTGAGTTGAAGGTCACAAATGAGGGAAAGACCATGTTCCTGAGCTATGTATTTTGGTGTGTTCTCCTATGTCTGTATTGAATTTGAATATCTGCGCTTCTTTCCTTAGGTTTCCAACCTTTTTGCTCGTGATGAAATCGATGAAATTAACAGTGACCTACTATCAGTCATGAAAAAAGAGCACCCCAGACACCCTCCCACCAACGAGAATCTGTATGACTACTTCATGAGTCGCGTCCGGCAAAACCTCCACATTGTGCTCTGCTTTTCGCCAGTGGGCGAGAAGTTTCGCAATCGAGCTTTGAAGTTCCCTGCCCTGATTTCAGGGTGCACCATCGACTGGTTCAGCCGGTGGCCCAAGGATGCCTTAGTTGCTGGTTAGTGTGGTGAACACTTTCCTGTCAGAGTTTCTGGCTTAGAGTGTGTGCATGCATGCCTTTGTCTGTGTTTTTAAATGTCTGTGCTGTCTGTGGTCTCCACAGCATTGAGCAAAGGTCATTTTGCCTGACATTTTAGGGTCTTTGCAAGATGGTGTCTTTTGTGTACATATGTAACTCATTATAGATATTCTCAGTATACATGCATAAGCACATACATGTGTACATGTCTGAACACACGAATTTGTATCCCTCCCTGGGGAAGTTGTATGCTCAACATACTGTTATTGATAAAAGTTTCTAATCTATGGTTTTTAAGCAAAGGATTTTTAAAAAGATGTATTTATTTTTGCACATAAGAACTGGGGTACAGGCCAGAGAAGCAGGGGAAGAGGGTGAGAGGATTCATCAGAGACAGAGTGGGGAGCAGAACAGGCAGATCCATGAAGTACTCTGCAGCATGGACACAGGAGAGGTCTGCCACACCCTGTGGGTCAGCCCTGGGGCGGGGATCGAACTCACGCTGCAGTGGCTGTGGCTAGTGTCGAAGAGCTGTACTTTAACCTCTTGTCCTTCGCTTCCAGTGTCCTAACTTACCACCTTTCAGTGTAGATAGTAAACGTTTTTGGAACCAAGGCGATACATTTGTTATATGTTGCTTACACATACGTAAATACTGCCCACAATTACTGCATTAGGATTTAGTTTAGTGATTAATTGCCAAAGGCAAAAAGATAACATTTTTCTTTGCTCCTGATCACCTGATGAATTTGCTGACTTGATCCTTTCTCTTTTTCTCCTTTTGCTTGGACTTGTTTCTGTTTGTAGCACCTCAGCACATTATTCAATATCTAAATGCTTTTTAAGCAAATTCATAGGCCATTTTTTCTAAGATGCATAAAGATGGTTGTGATAATTTTAACTGCATTATGCATAACCCTGTAAATTCCTTAGCGTTGAGACTAAATTCCACATATGTTTCTGTATCACTGGGGAAGGAAAGGCATGTGATAGGATGTTTTTGCTCAAACATTTTTAAAGAACTCTGTGAATTAGACTCTCTGTAAGTGGCCAGCAGCCACATTTCAGAACAAGATGACCCTGGCATGAAAGAATTGCTTGATGAACATTTTCCAGGCCAGATGCAGCCATATTCAGGGGGAAGTAAGGATATAGAACAGGTTGTGAGTAAAAATTAAATGGAATTGTTAAATATGACTACCAGGTGGGCACAGATTCCTCAGATTCTTGAGTTATTTGTATCACTTTTGTCCTTATGTAAACCATAAAACAGGCTGGCTGCAAGCAGAACCTGCAGCTGGGGAGAAGAAAGCTCCTTGCAGATATACAAATAAGGGGTGATGATAGGGTTAAAGTCTGTTACCCCTATCCAGACAAATAAAGGGAAATAAAATTATTGCTGTCATCACCCTGGGGCCCAAATCTGCTGACCTGAGGCTGTAAAAATGGTGCACAGTCCTGAGAAATGTCTGTGTTTCAAAAAAAGCAAGTTCACCTTTAACGTGGTAGTTCACATACTTCCATGTTCATGAAGGAGGTTTTCCACAGTGAGGCTGATCCCCTATCTGTTAGGGGCCAGGGTTCACAGCTGCAATTTCTAAAGATGTGGGGAACTCCACTGCATAATCTGGGGTCTCGGAGAATGGTGCCTGTGCTCTCCCCTAAAATAGATAAATAAAATAGTGCTTCGCTTTTATGTCTCACACGCTACCGTCTTTGTTCTTTCCAGTGTCTGAGCACTTCCTGTCGTCCTATGACATTGAATGCAGTCTGGAGACCAAGAAGGAGGTGGTCCAGTGCATGGGCTCCTTCCAGGACGGAGTAGCTGAGAAGTGTGTCGATTACTTCCAGAGGTTCCGACGTTCTACCCATGTGACGCCCAAGTCCTACCTCTCCTTCATCCAGGGCTACAAGCTCATCTATGGAGAGAAGCACACGGAGGTGCAGACTCTGGCCAACAGGTAGCAGGAAGACTCTTTACAGCAGTGGCTCTCATCAGGGGCAGAGAGGCGCCAGGGCACCTTTTCCCTTGATTGGAGATTTTTTTTTTTTGTTCTTTCTGAGGTGAGGTGGTGTGGCTCAGAGAGGTTAGGCCATCAGGGAGTAGAGGTCAAGGAGCCTGCTGAGGCTCTACAGTGAACCAGAGAGGGAGCCACAGTGATGAGTTCTCCAGACAAAATGACAGAGGTACCAAGGCTGAGAAACTCCTCTCATGCCCAGTGAGGGCATCGTCACAGTCTCCAAGGGCTTAACTGTTGGTCAACAGTGTAATGTGTCATTTTCACTTTATGCTCTGCCACTTTCTATAAGAAGGGATGACATGGTGACAGTGATAACCTGGGAGGGAACAGAGGTCAGACACCCCTCCCTGCCTCTGCCCAACCCCCTGAGGATCTAGCATGCAAGAGTCTGGCCAAGGACGTGCTCACTGCATAGTGATAACTACTCTGCTTCCTGGAGTTTGTTCCGAGTTTCACAGCTCTGCCTTGTGCTTAAATATCCTGCCTGAACATGGCCGGCATCCACCAGCTCACGACACAAGGGGCCCCGTGGTGGGTGAGAGGACAAAGGACTCCGAGGGTACGCATCCGTAAGAGCCTTGATTTTACGTTCACACTGGCACCTAGTCCCTTCAGGAGGCTGTTTGAAGGCCTTACTCATTTTTTTTCCCTCAAATTTTATTGATTTGAGAAATGGGCATGTGGCTGATTTCCAGAGCTCAGAGCCAGGGCCCTGGCCCTGCCTCTCCCCTCCCCCACCCTCTCTGGCAAGCACTGTATCTTTCACTCTGATAATTATTTGTGTGTTTTGTCATTTGTTCTTCACCTGAGGGAAACCCATCAGTAGGTGTCATGCACTCTGATTTCTTTAGTCATTGTCACCTCTGGTTCATCCATTGTGCCCCAAAGTCACTATTTCACCCTTGAAATAGCTGTCAGATGGCTTTAAATTTATTCCTTTTCTTGACCCCAACTGCTTTTTCTTCTTTTTTATTTTAAAAGCTTCATCAATCATTTTCAAACACAAAAGTTGCTCATGCTCCTTCCTCCACGGTTGGGCTTCAAGCTCTCGGAGTCCTTCCTCACTCAGCCAAACTCACTGGGCACATTCACTGCACGATGCACATTCTAGACCCACCACTGCTCCTCATGTCACATTGTTCTTAGCAAGCGTGCCGTCTGCACACGTGATCTGTGAAGAACATGCGAAATCTCCCGCCTGGAATCCAGCCTGGTCACGTGCGTGCTGCCTGGCCACAGGCCTAGGTCTTCTGTTTGTGCATCCGACGGTCTCAGTGCCACCAGTTTTTCAACACTGAGGAGATAAAGGAGATCATTCACTGGTGGCACCCTGGGCTTGTGGGCCCCATGTTCTCCCATACCTGTGCGGTTTCCTCACACTTCCCAAGGAAAGACACCTGCAGCTCACTCATGTATCTTCATCACTCTGGTGGTGGTAGTGGTGTGTGTGTTTGTGTGTGTGGTGCACCCTGAAGTGGAAGTGTGTCCTGTGCAGGTGATGTCACCTGCGCCCTGGTCTGCTGGGACAGGCTCCGGCCACCCTCAACCCTGACTAGGAGTAATAGGGCTGGAAAATGAAAGAATGAAGACAAATGACTGTTGAGTATCAGAAGTGTTCTGGCTCTGTCCTCAGAAGTTTGCTGCTGTTTATCTCACTACAAACATGCTGTAGGAACGTAGCACCTACTTATACCCACTAGCCCATGATCATGTAAGTTTTGTTATTCATTGTTTCCCTGAAAATTACATTTTCTAAGAAGATGTTGAGGATCTTGAAGGAGGACATGGTGTATCATTCTTTATTCTTTCAATATTCCTTCAACATACTCCCCATGCCAGTAGACCAGTGCTTGGGAGTCACGGCCAGGCAGCACATGGTAACATGGCTCACTTGGGCGTTCAATTCTAGGATGAATACTGGATTGGAAAAGCTAAAAGAAGCCTCAGAATCGGTTGCAGCGCTGAGCAGAGAACTGGCGGTGAAAGAAAAGGAGCTCCAAGTGGCCAATGAGAAGGCTGACACGGTGGGTGGGCTTCCCCGGTGCCCTCAGCTCCAGCTCCCAGTCCTCAGAGGCCAGCAGAGGGCTCATGGCCGCTCGTGTCTAAGCCCGACTGCCTGGACTACTTCCTTCCATTGGGATAACATGCTCTTCATTTTATAGATGGAAATGGTCTAAGCAAATCAAAATAAAAATGTCCATTTTGATCAGGGTTTTTTTTTTTTTGGCTTGTTTTATAATGAATTAGGTCTTAAAAGAAGTGACGATGAAGGCACAGGCTGCAGAAAAGGTCAAGGCCGAGGTCCAGAAGGTGAAGGACAAGGCCCAGGCCATCGTGGACAGTATCTCCAAAGACAAAGCCATCGCCGAAGAGAAACTGGAAGCAGCAAAACCAGCTCTGGAAGAGGCAGAGGCAGCCTTGCTGGTGAGTCTGGCGAGACAAGGCGTCACTGCAGAGACCCAGCCCAAGGCACGACGAAGAGCTTCAGGCCGCAGCTCTCTGCCCGGGAGTGCTTTCAAGGAATTTTTTTGGTTGGAGACATTGGAGACATACATTGTTAGTGCTTCATGGCGCTTACCCTAGCTACTGGCCACCTTGTTTCCCTACTGGCCACCTTGTTTCCCTACTGGCCACCTTGTTTCCCTCACTTGTCCGTGATGTATGTATGATGGATGTATGTACATCATGCATCCTCCTTTCAGCTGCCTCCCCACGGATGGTGTGCCTCTTGGGGAAGTCACATAAGCTCCAAAAAGTAACATTGCATTACTGGTTTACTGAGTTTGCGGAGGTGCTTCTGTGAGATGCAGTATTCTCTGCAGTTCTATAGAAATCACCCACATGGAGAACAACTGCTCAGTGTCTCTTGTGGAGGTGGTCTGACCAGGTTTCTGGCATGATTACTCAAGGCACTTGTGTGGCAAGCGTGCAAATGGCAAGGTTTGCAGGGAGGTTGGATTCTGAGAAAATACGAATTTCGTGAAGTAGGTCACACCTCAAAGAGCTCGGTCAGTTTCTGAAGACTCAGTATAGTGAGCCCTGGCCAAGAAAATGGAGGAGTGAACAGCTGCTGATTCGACCAGCTAATTCATTATATCCTTTCACTTGATAATGTGATAGTGATGATGATGATGATGATATAACTTGTGGCTGTGGAGATCTTCACAGGGCTTTGCTTTAACCCCTTGTGCCACCAGAGAGGGCCAAACTTACATATCTAATTATGTAACTCAGTGAGTTAGGGGTAAGAAGAAGCCAGAAAGCCATCACAGTAAGAAGGTCGTGGGCATATGGGTCACCTTCCAAAATTTCTCTCCTCCTCCTTTGACATTAGCATTATTCTTCAAGGTACGAGCACTTAATAAATTGTATGTTCTGTAGTGTATCCAGGATTATCTTGCGCAACTGACGCCCTTGACTATCACCTCCCCTTAGCTCCTAGCAACCACTATTCCACCTTCTGCTTCTATGAATCTGAGGACTTCAGACTTCTCATCCAAGTGAGATCATGTAGTACTTGTCTGTGTGTTTGCCTTACTCCACTCAGCATCATGTCCTCCCAGTCCCTTCCTGCTGGCAGATTTCCTTTGGTTTTTCAAAGGCTGAATAATATTCCATTGTGTGTATATTTCTATTAGCTTTTGGTCTATATCTACATGTACATAGATAGGTAATCAGCTCATGTTTTCTTGGTCCACTCAGTCCATTCATCCCTCTTTGAACATTTTAGTCGTCTCCATATCTCAGCTGTTATGAATAATCTTGCGGTGAACATGGGAGACTAGATACCTCAAGATGCCTTTTCTCCCCCCAACCCATCTCCTTTGGAAAGTCTTACTTTCCTGAGAGTCTTAAAAAAGAGAAGACAGGGTTGGTGATGGCACAAGGGTGATTTGGTAATGGGAAGCCCCCGGGGATTATAACTGAGATGGAAAAAGGCACAAAAGATAAACTATTATATTATTAAAAAATAAAATAAAATAAATGTAACTGAAGTAAAAAAAAAGAGAGAAGACAAAGATAGTGTAGAGAAGCTTTTAAACTTTCACTGTACTCACGACACATAATGGCAGCTTAGGAACAAAGCATGTAGGATCATAAAGGCCGGGCTTCATGGCCACACCCCCCAGGTTTAGGGGGGACCTGTATCGCTTTTGATATTGCAGCCAATATCCTATTTACTTAGCAGCCTCAACCTCTAAAATATTCTGCCTCTCATCATTATCAATGCAGAAATGTGTGGAAATAGGCGAGGCATAGTGATGGGGTGGACAGACTGTTAATCAGCACCTTCACTGGCTCTGCTTCCATTTTGCTGCCTTTTTGAGAGCTTTTGAAAACTTGCAATATGGCCCTACTGATATATGTTCTAAGCAATTTCCAGATAGATTCAAGCACCAATATTTTGAAATCAGGTTCCATACGAAAGGTAACCGCAAAGAGGTGTCTCTTCCTATCTCAATGTTAATTTGAGTCACTATAAAATACAAAATGCCTCCAGATGTTAGCTTTTATATTGTGATGATATCTAAGAAATTACATAGTAGTCACACTGCTTTGCCTGCAGAGAAAAGGCGTAGTAATACTCAACTGAAGCTGATTGAATTTCTGGTCTACCCCTATGCTAATCCTTTTTTCCTGGTGCCCAACAAATCTGTCTCTATTTGAAATCCCTCCTTTGTAAAGTCAATGTAAAATTAAGGTGTCGAGCTCTTGCCTCTTATATAACTTTAAATTGACCTTGATTTCACCACAGGCTGCTCTATTTCTCTCCTTTCTTTTATAACCATCTTGAATAATGGTCTATTTGCCTTTTACCACAAAATCTCCTTCACTTCCAAAGGTCTGGCTTTCACCAGTGTCAGTTGGTTAAAACAAATCTTTTGAACGAGTATAGCTATATTCCTAATTACCAAGTTTAGTAGTTTTCTTCGTTTTTTCCCCCTCCACCCTCAGAGAAGAGATCATTAGCTTTGATAGGAAGATCATGACTTCCTTCTTCTGTCAGGAAGGATGGCAGTACAAATATGATGGGAGATTTTCAAGATCCGGAAGGAGTGAATGTTCATGACCTGTTCTAGAAATAGGACTGTATTAGAGTCTTATTTTAGTATTTTTCTAATGCTTATTCCTCAAGAGTTTAAGAGCTAGAACACTTATTATCAGCCATGATGGGTCTCTGTGACTACTAAATAATTTACTCTATCAGGTCTGTACTAGAAATTGGACAGAACTTGTCTAAGAGCTTAGTGGAATTCTTACTGCTCCAGTTCTATCATTTAAAGGTCAGGTCCCAGCGAAGAAACCTCGAATTATTCAATCTGTCAGCCCTGGGGCTCCCCTTTAATGTCAGCCCATTGCAATGAGTCTGAGTTGCTTAAGCGTGAGGAGCTGCCTCTTGACCTATGTAACCAATGAGGAAAAAGCCTGAGAATCTGCAGCTTCCTGGCCGAGCTGCCTGGCATCCCCATAAATGCTGAGTACTCCTTTTTCTTTTGAGATTACTCTTCCCTTTGCCCTGACACAAACCAGGCTGCACAGTTTTAGAGAAGTCCCAGATTCTTACCTGCCTGTCCGCATTTCTCACCCCCTTTCTCTTGCCAGTTTGAGCTATGCAGATGTCAGTGTTGGGGTTTGTGTATTGTTTTGTGTTAAATATTCCTCTGACATGCGTGGCTTTGCTCCGCACTTCAGAGCACGTCCTCTCCTCTGGGAAGCAGTAGCATGCACAGATGTCGGTTTGTACATCTGCACTTTCTCACCCGAGACCGGATGTCACCCGTCTCTCCCCAGACCATCAAGCCTTCCGACATTGCCACCGTCCGCACGCTGGGCCGCCCCCCTCACCTCATCATGAGGATCATGGACTGTGTGTTGCTGCTGTTTCAAAGGAAGGTCAACGCAGTGAAAATTGACCTGGACAAAAGCTGCATGATCCCTTCTTGGCAGGAATCTTTAAAACTGATGACTGCAGGGAACTTTTTGCAGAACTTACAGGTGGGCACTCCCCTAATGATGGGCTATTGGGGACTGGGCCCCTCAGAGACTAAATTTCTGCAGAACATTTACAGACATATTTTCCTTCCCAAGATACCCCCCTCCCCTTATTCAAGTATAGTTGATCATTGAAGTTGTATACACTTAAGGCATTTGAGTTGAAGTTTTGATATATGTTTACATTGTTAAATAATCACCACCACCAAACCATAATAGCAGTATATTTTTATGTTGTCCTCTATTTCCAATGTTCTTTTTCATATGTGTGTATATAGGTGTACATGTGTGTATGATTATATATGTGTACACATATACACACCAACACTTGATATATGCTCTCCTAGCAAATTTCAGGTACACAAAGTGGTACCGCTACCTGTATTCACTTTGCCACGCTGGAGAGCTTCAGGATGTTTCCATGGTACTAACTCATGCCCTTGACTGTCACCTCCCTGTTCCCGCTCCTCTCGGCTGCTGGCAACCACCAGGCAGTCTCTGCCTCTATGACTTTGACCACTTTTGTGGGTCCTTGTATCAATGACACAGGAAGTATTTGTTTCTCCGCCATTGGTTTATTTCATGCATCACAATGTCTTCCAGGCTTACCCACTTGTCAAAAGCGACAAAAGAGCCTTTCCTCCTTTGTCAAGGCTGAATAATATTCCACAGCCCTCTTTTGAACATGCCTTTCGTATTTTTTTGGAGTACAATTTTCTCTGAGCGAGAAGCCCAGGTGAGCATGAGAGTGGCTCATGCTGACTGTTGTGTGCTCCAGCATCGTCAGTGAGGCTTCAACGGAGGGCTTGAAAAAATCATTTTAAGGAGACAATACCATGTGCATAGATTTACATATATTGCACGCCTCTGAGATAAGCCAATACATATATTTATATTTTGCAAGTCTCCACGGTCCTTTTTGAGTATTCATTTGCATCTTTTAAATTTTATGATGATGGAACTTACACATAATAAAGAACACAAATTCAAAGTGGTCAGCCTGCTGAACGTTGGCATATGTATGCTCCTATTAATGGACTCTGAAATCCAGATTGGGATTTCTGGATTTCTAGCCAATCTGGGCTATTATCTCTTCTAAGGCAGCTGTTCCTCCAACTTTTATCTTCGTAGTTAGTTTTGCCAGTCTGGAAATGTCCACACAGGGAGTCCTGTCACACGAACACTTTAGTTTTCACTTTTTCCTTCGACACCTCTGGGACGCTCACTGTGAGCCTCACACAGGGCTCGCCACATCTTGTTCTGTCACTGCTAGCTGCTCTCCATCTCAGGAATATGCAGTGGATGATGCTTAACAACGGGTTCCCTGGGGACCAGAAACAATAGCAAGCTCTGCATTTGTGGTGGTGGCCAGTTTCTATGGCTTAAATTTAAACAACTCCGCAGTGACCAGTGTGGATCTCCCCTACGATGCTGCTGGATGTGGAGTCGGGAGAAGACACTTTGGGGCGTGCCTCAGCTGGGACCCCGCTCGCGTGCTTGTATAGACCCAGGGGCCTCTCACACACGTGTGGTAGACTGTAGTGAGGTCACTAAACAGGGATGAGTTTTAACTGCACATTCGTTTTGCTTTAAGTAAAAGTCTTATAACACGAAATGGTTATGCTTAACAACCAGCTACAAAAGTCCTGAAAATTTAGCAAGCATTTTTCATGAGTTTTTACAAGCCAGTAGTGGAGAAACACTGTCTGGTAGTATCCTTTTTCATTGAAATTTAAGCCAAATTTACCCCCCAGTTGGGGTTAAGCTACGGTGAACATCGGTGCACAGGCCATTTGGTGGGTATTTGCCTTTCTGTTGGCTACGTGCTCAGGAGTGGAGTTTTGCGTCTTCAGTGATACGTGTAGGTAACCACAGTAGATTGTGCCAGCGCATTTTCAAACCAGTCCTGTCCGTGGCTTCACCCACCACAGTGTGTGAATTGAGCTGTGTTGTCTTTGCCACCTTCTGCTTGACGCCTGCCTGTCGGTGGGCCATGATGCCTTACTCTTGTGGGCATTTCCCTGGTGGCTGGAGATGCTGAAAACATTCCATTTATGAGCCTCTTGGGGATTCTTTAGTTAAGGGCCTGTTTAGGTCTCTAGTCCATTTCAATTTTGTCTTACTTTGTAGCACTTCTTTATGTATAAAATATGAATGATTTGTTATTTATGCATTTTAAAGTATATATATACATTCTGCCTTAGCAGTTCATTCCATTAATGGCATCCTTGGCTAAGAAGATATTCTTAACTTTAATATAGTCTAATTTGTGAGTAGTTTTCCTTCATCAGGCTGTCTGCACTCTCTTAGGAAGTCTTTGCTCACTGGTGGGGCAGAGTAATTTTTGTTTCCTTCTATCACTTTTGCTCTATCACTTCTAGTTAGAGCTTGAGACAACTAATTGAGAATACCCAGCCCCATCCAGTTCCCAAGCAGTAGCTTCAGCCCCCTCGTTCACTCAGTTTTTAGCTCAGCATCCCACCCAGCCCTGCCCAGGGCGTCTGTGGCCGGGGGCCAACGGGGAGCAGCCTCAGAAACAAGTGGACAGCCGACTGGTCTCGGTAACTGGACGGCAGACTCGATGGCACAAGGGACCCCTTGACCCCTCGATGGCATAAGGGACTCCCTTGAGGGAGTAACCTACAATCGAGTGAGGGGGTGGTGGCTAACTCTGGCCAGGGGAGATGGAAGGGCAGTGGAGACCGACCCAAAAAGGGTCTGACACTGGGAAATGTGACATTGTCACGGAAATGTGACGACGGAGCTGCGCATGGAGCAGATTCCTGGCCAATGACTCTCAACTCCTGGTCAGCTTCGTGCTGACCCCTGGGTCAGTCAGTCCCTGGACCTCAAAAGCGCCTGTCACTCTTGCTGTCTGGCCAGAGCCCTTGGGGTTCCCAAGCTTTCTCCCTGCTTCACACCTTAGCTTCAGGCAGGAAGCTTGGTGACAGCAGTTCTGAATGTGGATGGTTATGTTCAGGTCCCTTTTGGGAGGGCTGGTTTCACCGCCTTATTTAGGTGCTAACTTCTTTCCACGTTAAATCATTTAAATCTTTAAAGCATTCAGTCAGGGCCCTCCCTGGTGGTGCAGCAGGTTAAAGCGCAGCACAAAGAAAGAAGCTTAAGCCACTTCTGCATGAGTTCGATCCCCGCCTGCCCCGGAGGAGATCCACATGGTGCAGTAGACCTCTCCTGACCTGCCTGCTGCTCCCCTCAGCAGTGTGCTTCATCGATCTGCCTGTTCTGTTCCCTACTCTGTCTCTGGTGAAGCCTCTCTCCCTCTGCATGTCTGGCCGGTACCCAAGTTCTGTACGAATAAATAAATAAATCTTTAAAAAAAAAAAAACATTCAGTCATTCTTTTTAAGATGATCAAGCAGACTTAAAACCCCATTTTCATGGCGGGCCTGCCATTGCTTGTGATTCGGAATGGCATTCTTACTGCGCTTCTGTTACTATTTTTAAAACTGTATCCCTGAAGAAGATGCAATTCTCTCACATGTGATGGTTTTATGATTAAAAATTAATTCATCACCCTCAAGGCCTAATGTTCAAGTTATTATCTTTACATTTCAGGTGCATTTTATAGAACCTCCCTGAATGTATTAAGCATTGAGTTGCTGTTAATGAGAAATATATATGTCCTTAGGCTGGATATGTCTTGTGTGTGTTTGTTTTGCAATGTTGATTTTATGGGTTTGTAATTCACCTACTTAGGGTTAATGTCATCAAAGTTTTATTGCTCTGGAAATTCTAATAACCAAATTCGTGCTCATCATCTTATAATTCACTCTTTCTCTGGATCCTAGTCAGCTCAGAGTGGGTAGACATCCCCTGGCGACTCCTTCCTTCGCCCTTCCTTGTGCGCTCACCTTCAGGACGTGGCCTGGTAGCTGACGTGGCCTGGTAGCTGACGTATTAAAAAAAGTAGTTCTTCCGTGTTCTGTAGTTCGGCAGCGTCCGCGGCGTCGCGAGCACCGCTGTGCTCTGGCCTCGTGCAGAGATGTCTTCTGACTCTTCTTTCTTCCACAGCAATTCCCCAAAGACACAATCAATGAGGAAGTGATAGAGTTCCTGAGCCCTTACTTCGAAATGGCGGATTACAACATCGAGACGGCCAAGCGCGTGTGTGGGAACGCAGCCGGCCTGTGCTCCTGGACCAAGGCGATGGCGTCCTTCTTTTCTGTAAACAGAGAGGTGTTGCCTCTGAAGGTGAGCCCCCGGCGGGGCGCATGCCGGCCACTGGGAGGGGCTCTAGCCAGTGGCCTTGCCTTTTTGTTTTTAAAGATTTATTTATGCAAACAAGAATTGGGGTACAGGCCAGAGGTATGGTGGATGGATGGGTGAGAGGTTTCACCAGAGACAGTGTGGGGAGCAGAACCGGCAGATCTACTGAAATCCAGGGCTAAGGGGAGTAGTGGGGAGACAGGAGACGTCTGCTTGTGCTATGGGTCAGCTCCCTGGCTGGGGATCGAACTTGTGTTTCAGGGACTGCGGATAACTTCATAGTACCATGCTTTAGTGATTTAAAAAAAGATTTTATTTATTTATGCATACAAAAACTGGGGTACAGTCCAGAGGTGTGGGGAGAGGAAGGTGAGAGGGTTCACCAGAAACAGAGTAGGGAACAGAACAAGAGGACTGAATGAAATCCACTGCTGAAGGGAGCAGCGGGGCAGAAAGAGGCCTGCTGTGCCCTGTGGGTCACTCCCTGGCTGGGGATGGAACTCGTGCTACAGTGGCTGCAGACAGCTTCATAATGCTGTGGCTTAACCTGTTGCGCCACCAGGGAGGGCCCAGTGGCCTTGCCTTTTCACACAGCATAGCAGGCTCCTGCCTGCAGTGCGCTGTGCTTGTGTCCAGGGAAGAGAGAGTGCTGGAAGGCCAGACACATGATGTCTCTTCTCTGCATCCTGTTCCAGGGGCCTCTGGGTGTGGATTGTCTACAAGGACCATAAGTCCACTCTGTGTTGCTGGATATGTCTTCTCCCAGTGCCCACCTGAAGGAAAAAGAAATAGAAAGCCAAAAAAAAAAAAAGAAAAGAAAAAGAAAAAGAAAAAAGAAACAGAAAGCCACAGTACAGAATCCCTTGCTCATGTCCAGCTCTCCTGCTGGGGGATCTTATCAGGGAGTCAAGGTCAACACAAGGGCATTGGTGACTGGTCATGGTGACAGGTTATGGCAAAGTGTCCTGTCTCTTCTCTTTGTCCTTCAAGGAAGAATGTGCATCTCATTAGTTGTTCAGTGTGCCCCACATTTGCTTTTGAGTACTTGTCTTTCTAAGTTTCACTTGTAGACCTTGTCCAGTGTCACGGTCTTCAGCAGATGAGGAGCAGCTGCGTGATTTGAAAATGGAACACTGACATCTCAAACGTCACACCTAGGACTTGGATACTTATTTTGCTTCTGTCTGATCTCTCAACCATCTCAAACATCAACTAAATCCACTTACACTTACAAATAGCCCAAGGGACTTAATCACACAACAAACATAATTAAGATTAGAAAGAAGATGGGGATGGAGTGAAAAGTCCCTTTTTACATTCTAATTGTTTACACACCAGGGGCATTTATTTAGTTATTGAAAATTGTTGGGTGCTAAGGAAACTTGAAAGAACAAAGACTCTACGTCAAGATTCATTTCACTTAGAGAATGTCACAGCAAATAATCAGTGTCATTCCATCTGACACTATGATGTAGGGGCCACAGAAAACCCCAGCTTAACTCCAAAATGGACATTCTGTTATTGACTGAATCGCACGCACCATGTCAAATAAAAAGCACAGGGCGTCATTTCTGGATTTTTCAAGAGGGTCTGCACACATAGTGCCATACAAGGTATGGCAGCTGAATACAGGATCGGTAGTTTTAATTTTATTGTAGTTATTTTAAATAAAGTAAGCAAATAGCGGACAGTCACAGAACAATGTACTCTTGCCCCCTGCCCGTTCAGAGTGGCTCAGCCTCCATCCAGGCTCACCCTGATCCTACAGTGGGAGGGAGTGGGAGCCCCTGTTCCTGGAGCCTAAGCTTCCCTCCTTCATTCTTGGAAGCCTCCCGCATCTAGAAGCTTCTGGTTTGTCAGGCCCCTCCTACTGTTTACTGTTGGGAGGAAACTAAGTAGGTCCACAGGTCCTACACAGTCCCTGTCTGGGAGGGGGGTGGGAACAGTGTCGTGGGGTGACTAGGTACATTCAGAAGTGCCTCCTCCAACTTCACTTGCTCCTGGAGGGGCTGCAGCTGCAAACTCCTGCCTGAGTGAGCAGCACTAGCTATTATAAAGTCTTCAGCACTAACTGCTATAAAGACTGTTTTCTTAGGTGTTACAAGGGCTGTAGATACCAAGAGACTCTGAATAAACTTGATCAAATATCAATATAACAATAGCAAGTTAGATGTCATTATAATGAGATTTCCCTTTGAAACTAGAAATCTGGAAATATCAGGCCATATAAACAGCATATAGAACAGTGGAGCCTTAAATATTAAATATGGGTAATGTGTTATTGCTGTCTCATTATGTCTGGTACAGAGCTGGGTTTTTACATTTACACACACACACACCCATTCCAGCAGGCAGTTTTGCAGCATCCTACCAGAGACAACAAGACACAGATCTTAAGTCATCGATACAGAGATCTGTAGCCCCTGTGGTGAACTGTGAGGTTGATGATGTTTATGAGCTTTGTTTAAACAAACACACACATTTTTTTTTTTTTCCTGCATAAAGTCCTAGGAACTATTCTAGATCTTTGACATTAGCATTCACTATGGAAAGTTATCTGACAGGGGGCTTTCTTTTCTTCTGTATTTAAGTCACTGGGACAGGGTCTGCTGAGGGCAGAGCTGAGAAAAATGCCCCAGAGTGAGATTCTTTTTGCTTTCAGAAGTCACTATTTATTTAGTTTTTCATAATACCATTTTTTAATCAAGGTAGCTTTGACTCACAACACTGCATATTTCTTAGAGGCACAGATTTACACCATTTAGATGCATGTCATCACATCCATCACCAAGGCACTCACAACCCTCCACCACAGTCCCTGGCTCCCCTGGACAGCCCTCCCCCCCCCTGCTCTGGGAACCTCAATTCTATAGTCGGATTTATAGGGTCTGTTTTGGTTCAATTTTTTCTATTCCTTTGTCTTATTGCATTATATTCTACATATAAGTGAAATCACTCTATATTTATCTTTCTCCTCTGGCTTTTTTCGTTGAGCATATTTTAGGTGTTGTTTTTGCCTTGGGTTCCAGACAGTTACAGAACTCTGATTTCCCCTTGAAGAATTACTCTGCTAAAACCTCCAGAAACCCGAGGTTTTCAGAGAGGAAAATAATTTATCTTAAAAAAAATCTAATAACATTTTCTTCTCTAATACCTTGGAGTGAATATGGTTCTAGTAATGGATCTCCCCATTCAAGTCAACTTTAACATGTTTTAGATTTAAAAAGGAAAAATTGATTAAAACTTTTTTTTTGAAAAAATCTAAATTCCTCTAGCATGGGCTATTTTCCATACTTCACTAGATAATATTGCTTTTGATTTGTCTTCTCAGTACAGCTGAGTAGTTTTTTTAAAAATAAATCCCTTTTATTGGTCATAGCTGAAGGCATCAGTTTTTCTCTGGAAGATTCGTGATAGAGGAAAACTGTCAGAAGACATTAGCAGACACCACTGCCCTGAAAACCTAGATCTTTATATTCAGGGAACACGGACATTCCTGTGTTTATCTTGTTTGAACAACCTCATCTGCAGTGATAGTTGTGCCAGGCAGATGGATCCCAAAATTCAGTTTTCCCCCTATAACTCTTAATATTACAATTTTCATAATTTTTCTGAATGCATTTAATTTCGCAACGTCTGATCTAGGGATTGGCAACCCAAGGCCCACAAATCTAACCCACCACCTGGATTCAATGGCTCATGAAATACAAGAGTTCTTACATTTTAAAGTGGATTTTAAATAACTGCCTAAACAATAATCTTGGCTTTGTCTCCGAGGCCCCAAAAGCCTGAACTATTGCTATCTGACTCTTCATGGAAAAAATAATGTGCTGACTTCTATTCTAGTGAATTATAATTTCCTGTTTATAACCATTCATGAAAGTTCCCATTAAAAGTTTGTCTTGACTTCATAAGGTTTGAAAAGGCATTTTGGGGATGCTGGGAACACGGTGGAAGGTTATGGGGCTTTAGTGGTGGGTGTGTTGTGGTAACATACACACTCCCCAATTTTCTTTCTTTTTTTAAAGATTTATTCATCTGTGAATACAGAACTGGGGTACAGGCCAGAGGCTCAGGGGCGGCGAGAGGCTTCACCAGAGACAGAGTGGGGAGCAGAACAGGCAGATCTACGAAGTACACTGCTGAGGGGAGCAGCGGGCGGGTCAGGAGAGGTCTGCCGCGCCCTGTGGTCACCTCCGGGGCAGGCGGGAATCGAACTCATGCGGAGGTGGCTTTAGCTTCTCAGTGCTGTGCTTTAACCTGCTGCGCCACCAGGGAGGGCCTCTTTTTTTTTAAGATTTATTTATTTATTCATACAGAACTGGGGTACAGGCCAGAGATGCGGAGGGTGAGAGGATTCACCAGAGACAGAGTGGGGAGCAGAACAGGCAGATGTACGAAGTCCACTGCTGAGGGGAGCAGCGGGCGGGTCAGGAGAGGTCTGCCGCGCCCTGTGGTCACCTCCGGGGCAGGCGGGAATCGAACTCATGGGGAAGCGGCTTTAGCTTCTCAGTGCTGTGCTTTAACCCTCTGTGCCACCAGGGAGGGAGGGCCATTCCCCAATTTTCTATACAGAGAAGCTAAACTGTCACTTCAAAAAAAAATTATTTAGTTAAAAAAAAGGACTAGAACTTAGCGGACAGGTCATATACGGAGATAGAATTCTTAGGAAGAAAGAAGTGGCCCCACTCGTCTTTCCGGGTGGTAATGTCCCCGAGCGCTTGCCGGTGACTGGTGTGTGCCCACGATGCAGTCGCGGGACCAAGGGGACGTTCATGTCCTGCTTTGGAAGCAGCACAGCTCAGTGTCTGCTGAATTCTGAAAAGAGGACAGGCCTTCCGGGAAGCACGGGGGCCCCAGCGGTGTCCCTGTCCGTTCTGACCCGAGGTCCGGTGTCACTGCTGCCGTTGTCCCCGTGTCCCGCAGGCCAACCTGGCAGTGCAGGAGAGCAGGCACGTCCTGGCCATGCAGGACCTGCAGACGGCGCAGGCCGAGCTGGACGACAAGCAGGCGGAGCTGGACGTGGTGCAGGCGGAGTACGAGCAGGCGATGGCGGAGAAGCAGGTAGCGTCCCGCGTGGGGTGCCCCTGGCGCCCCAGACCGGCCTCTGCCAGGGGTGGTGGTGGGGGGCTGCTCTCCAGGGGTCCCGCTTCCCTCATCCTCCACGTTGGCTCACACAGCCCTTCCCGCCTGCTGCGGCTGGTTTGCAGGACGCCGGGGGCCTTTGGACAGCGGTGGGGATGGTCAGTGGAGACACCGCCAGTCGGGTGTGGGAGGCGCCTGCTGCTGTGTTTTTCACACCTGATGGCCCTTGACCTCATGTAATTCTTGAAACCCTCTCTCAAGGTAGGCAGGCTAGATATTTTAACTTTAATTTCATTTCTGAGGAAGGAACGGAGGTCCCGTGAGGATCTGAGAGTGGATCCCAAGGATGGACAGCCGGGACAGCGCTCGGTCCCCCCAAGTGGCTCAGCCTTCTGCCGGAGCACCTGCCGGCTCCCGGACAGGGGCGGTCGCCCCCAGGCACGCCTCTGTGGAGCAGGCTCTGGTTTTATTTGTAAAATCCCAGCTCCAGCGGCCCCCACCCCGGCTTTCGGCCCTCAGGCGGGTTTACCGTAAGTCTCATGGAGCTTAAGCTTTGGGCTTCTCGTCACAGCCCATGACGGCTGGGTTATGGGGAGCGGAAGCCAGGCCTTGGGGGCCAGCCCCGGGGTGCCCCTTTTCCTTGCCCGCCTGGGGATCTCCGAGCAAAGGCGGCTGGCTTTCCCTGGCGACACTTGGGGCTCGTTTTCGGTCTCCTAAATACATGCTCACATTCAGCCTTTGTATTTACCAGGTTTCTCTGTGATTTTCTTTAAATGGGCTCCCACATTACAAGCTTTTGGCCCCACAGACTGTTCTGTCTGCTGCTAATCAATCCTGTATTTGGTAATGGAGGGCTACGCCCTGCTCTTCTTTCCTCCATGGTTTGTGGGCTTCACGCCAGTCACTGTTCAGCCTTCACGGGGCTGCACTGCTTGCTGGGTTAGTGTATTCTCTTGCAAGAGTCTCAGTGAGGGGAGTTAGATAACTTAGTTCCTAAATTTGATAAATTTAGTGTCACTTTACACAGAATATTGGCTGGATTCTCTTAAAGGTAAATGTCCTGGGGGTCTCCCTGGGGTGTTTTTTTTTAATTTTTATTTTTTATTTGTGCATACAGAATTGAGGTACAGGCCAGAGGCTCAGGGGCAGCGAGAGGCTTCACCAGAGACAGAGTGGGGAGCAGAACAGGCAGACCCACTGAAACCCACTGCTGAGGGGAGCAGCGGGCGGGTCAGGAGAGGTCTGCCGCCCATGTGGTCACCTCCGGGGCAGGCTAGGATCAAACTCACGCGGAAGCGGCTTTTAGATTCTCAGTGCTGTGCTTTAACCCGCTGCGCCACCAGGGAGGGCCACTCCCTGGGGGGTTTTTTAAGTCAAGGGCTGTCACTGCTAAGGCCCGAGTTGACCCCCCGCCAGGGAGTTGACCCACATGGCACAGCAGACCCCTCCTGTCTCCTGCTGCTCCCCTCAGCAGTGGGTTCAGTGTATCCACCTGTTCTGCTCCCCACTCTGTCTCTGGTGAGTCCTCTCACCCCGGCACCTTGGCCTGTACCCAGTTTTTGTACATATAAAAATTTAAAGAAAAACATAAATCTGAAAGCAGAATAAGTACTTTTTGGGAGTTTTTAAGAAGTCCCTGTAAAGGCCACCTACTGGTGGAGGTCTCTGCTGTGGAATTTGCATAAATACAGGGGAAGATTAGCGGCACTGTCTGAGAGTGGGCTCACAGCCTGTGAAGAAGCTGTGTTTATCGTTGCCGAGTTGCACTTACTTCAGAGGGTGGCGCTGAACCCAGCAAAAATATTTTAACACCAACTTTCAGAAAAGGGTCATAAAGACTTTGGATGTATGGCATTAATATGGGTATTTTATGTCTTTTTTTTTTAAGATGTATATATTTATGCATAGAAAACCTGAGGTACAGGCCAGAGGTGTGTGTGGGGGGTGGGGAGGTGCGGAGGATGAGATGAGACAGAATGGGGAGCAGAACAAGCAGATCCACTGAAATCCACTGCTGAGGGAGCAGTGGGCGGGTCAGGAGAGGAGTGTTGTGCCCTGTGGGTCACTCCCTTGAGCCCCAGTGGCTGCTGACAGCTTCATGGTGCTGCACTTAAACCTGTTATGCCTCTAGAGAGGACCCCTTTATGTTTTTTTTAAAATTTATTTATTTTTTATTTTATAACAGTCTATGTTGTTTTTTTTTTTTAACAAAAAAAATTAAAAAAATGTTGTGACTTCCTTTTATTATGTTTCAGTCTTAACATTCATTCAGTCTTTTACATTCATTCAGTCTGCAAGATTTTCTTTGGTCTGGACCATTTGTTTGCTCGGTAACAATGATAGGGTCACCCAAGAACTGCTCTTGTAAAGCCTGACTCCTACTCTAAGACTTGTGTTCCAGCAAAGTCCGGTTTCGAGTTCCAGGCAGCCCGAATCTGGCTGTGAGCCGGCTGTGCTCAGTGTCCCCAGGGCAGCTTGCCCAGTAGTTGTTTGGATGCTCCTCTCCCTGCTTGAGGAGTCAGGGGGCTTAGGGACCACCGGAGCTGGGGGTGGACCCTGAATCTACAGATCTGTTGTCACCTGTTAGCCTCAGCCCCTGTGGTCTGAGGGGGCGTCCTTGGCTCAGGCCCCTCCCCCTCCGAGGGCTCTATCCATGGACCCCAGCAGACTCCACGGACTCCACGCTCCTCCCTGGACTTGGCAGGAAATTCCATGGCCCACCCCCCTCCTGTCAGGCCCATGTCCCTCTCCCTCCTGGGGCCAGCTCTTCGCTTTATGGCCTGAGGGGTGGCGTTGGGGATTCAGGGGAAGCCCCCTCATTCCAGGCGTCTGTTTCAAAGGCAGCAGAAATAAGACTAGTGCCTTGCCCTGCTGGTGGCCAGGCTCTTTGTGGGGAGCAGCAAAGGCCACTGGGGGTGACAGAGGCGGGCTGTACCTGGCTGCAGGGCTTTTGTTCCTCTGCAGCAGCTCTGGGGAGGGAGCCAGCAGCCAGGAGCAGGCACTGTGCTGGGCTGTTATCACAGACGCCATTCGGGTCCCTTCTAGAAAATACACACAGGCAACCAGAGCGAATGGAAGCCTGTGCCCTCACTATTGCAGGTCTGACAAGTCCTTTGCTTTCCATATGTGTTTTAATCCTCTGAAAAATGGACCCGAGAATTCAGGACAAGCTGCTTTACAAATTGAATTTTTAACTTAATAATTATCTTTCCTGGTTATAAGATCGTCTTTAATGACTCCAGATCATTCTTATTCATACAGGCATCATAATTTATTTATGACGTTTATTTGTTTTTCGACATTTATTGGACATAATTTATTTGTGAGACATTTAGTAAGTGGTCACATCCTAAATCTTTATCCAGTATTATTTTGTAAGAATAACTTTTTGCAAATAGAATTTGCATTTGCCTCCAACAGAGGAAATCAGAATCCTTTGATTCCAAGCACCAAGCACAGTGTGGCAACAGTTTGGAGAAGCTGGTTCTGTCTTGGTGACACGGAGCAGGGGTGAGGTCCTGCTCGGCCAGGTGGCTGGCATTGGTGAGGGAGCCTCAGGAGATCCCCCTCTCTGAGAGGGTGCTTTAAAGTTTCACCTGAAGTAATAGAGGACTTGGCGTTGGATAAAACAATGGTGTTAGAATTTTTTCCCCAACAATTTATTTATTTGTGCATACAGAACTGGGGTACAGGCCAGAGGTACAGGGGCAGTGAGAGGATTCACCAGAGACAGAGTGGGGAGCAGAACAGGCAGATCACTGAAGTCCACTGCTGAGGGGAGCAGCGGGTGGGTCAGGAGAGGTCTGTGGCGCCATGTGGTCACCTCCGGGGCTGGGGATTGAACCAGCACTGAAGCGGCTGCCACCAGCTTGCAGTGCTGTGCCCTAATCCACTGACCATCAGGGAAGGCCCCAAGGTCTTAGAATTTTAACACAAATAATCCTAAGCTTTAAGTAAGGATATGTAGAGCTGTGTGTCTTTGCTGTTTGGTGCAACATCACATGAAAGTATGTTTATTTGTATTTAATTTCTGTTTCCTGTGTAGGGAAATCATAAGTGCCCATGGTCTCTCAGCTGTTAACGTCTGGGAGGGGGAACTGGCCAGTTGGCTCAGGGTCCCATGGGCGGCGTCCTGCAGAGTCCGGGGCCTGGGCAGAGTAGGCTCAGGGACATGCAGTCTTGTGCTTCTGAGGCGACAGGTGGCTCCTGTGTCTGAGAGAGGAAGCTGACCCATGATGTGCTAAAATTACATTATTAAATTATTAATGGATTTATTTAAATTTTATTAAATTATTTATTAAAATTTTAATTATTTAAAAATACCCAAATTATGTCGAGTCAGAGGCTTGATTGAGCAGAAGGCAAATCTCTGCGGTGGCCTCTTTCAGACCTTGCTTGAAGACGCAGAGCGGTGCAGGCATAAAATGCAGAAGGCGTCCGCGCTGATCGGTGGCCTGGCTGGGGAGAAGGAGAGATGGACGGAGCAAAGGAAAGAGTTTGCAGCCCAAACAAAAAGACTTGTAGGTACGTGACCCCCTTGATCATGAGCTCAGCACACGAGCTTTGCGAGAATACCACCAGCACTCCCGTGGCCCATGGATCAAGTTCCCCGGATCAAGTTCCCCTGTGCACGTGCTCACCTGCTTCAGGAGAGTGAACACTGTCTGCACATTCTGGAGTCCTTGTGAGGCAGGTGAATGACCTTTACACTTCTCATCAGGTTACTTTGGAATTCTCCTGGGTCCCTGGTCATGTTGACCAAGGCTATTTGGAGGAAGGCTCTGAATTCCGAGGTTTTGCTTTCTCTTGAACCCAGAATTCATCTTCTCAAGCCAACAGACATCAGCATGACCCGGCATTTGGTGACCAGTTGCCTCTGCGTGGCTGATCTTGTGCGTGCCACTGAACCACGAGCCAAACTGCTGCTTAGTTCTCAAGACAGCCAGTCTTGCCACTTGGTTTCTGGAATTCAGTTGAAAAGAATGGTTCTTGGTTTTTGTTTTCCATTGTGAATATTGTACACAATTACAAGCTTGGTGATCAAGTATTTTACTTGTGTTTGTTTTTCATTTTAGGGGATGTATTGTTGGCTACAGCTTTTCTATCTTATTCTGGCCCATTTAACCAAGAATTCCGCAATCTGCTGTTAAGTGACTGGCAGAAGGAGATGAAAGCCCGGGAGATTCCATTTGGAAACAATCTAAATCTCAACGAGATGCTGATGGATGCCCCCACTATCAGTGAATGGAATCTCCAGGGCTTGCCAAATGATGACCTGTCCATCCAGAATGGAATCATCGTCACCAAGGCATCTCGCTATCCTTTGTTAATTGACCCACAGACTCAGGGCAAGATCTGGATCAAAAATAAAGAAAGTAAAAATGAACTGCAGGTAATTTGTGTTTCAGTGTATTTAGTGTATTCAGTATTTAGTATTTAGTATTTAGTATTCAGTGTAACTAGCTAACGTCCACTTACGTTGTGTAAATAGTTAACATCCACAAGATCGGAGAATACTGAAATATTGGAAATGATTAGTAATGGCTTGAAATCCTGGCTAGAGCTGTCACCAACAGGAGCCTAAAACTCAACAATAAAGTCTTTCTAAAAATCACATTATTTGTGTTTGTGTTGATCACACCTAAGGACGTCTGTCAGAGCTTCAGACTCTCTACTGTGAGTGCTGAAGTCTCTCTCTCAATAGGCCAGACTTGAACTCTGTCTCACACTTCCTGTTCAGCTCTTTACAAGGATATTCCATGACTCTTATTTGTCCCTAGGTGGTGGTGAGCGAAGCCAGCCTTGCTCACTGGACCTCTGCATGGTTCCTAGTAGAGGGAATGGCAGTTTGCTAAGGAAAACACCAGAAACAGTTTAAGCTTCTTGCTGTTTAGCAAGTACGGGTTTTGAGTAAGGGTCTCTAACTGCTTCTGCCATTGTCCCCTGTGGTGGAGGCTCAGGTCCCACTTCACACCAATGACCCTGCCCCTCGGCATTGTCATGAGACTGTCAAGAGACCCTTTCCCTCTTGTTTCTAGATCACATCTCTTAATCACAAGTACTTCAGAAGCCACCTGGAAGACAGTCTCTCTCTTGGGAGACCCCTGCTTATCGAAGACGTTGGCGAGGAACTAGACCCAGCACTGGATAATGTCTTAGAGAGAAACTTCATTAAGACGGGGACCACCTTTAAGGTAAGCAGTCTACGATGATGATGTTTACTGCACCCTGATTACTGTGTGCCCAGGTAAGTGCAGCATAGGTGATGTTTTCTCAGTAGCGGCAAGTCGAGCTGGAGTCAGTGGCAGAGATGTTGCTTTCTTGAGTTGTTACTAAAATATTCACGAGCAGTTCTTGCAGGAATACCCACTTTTCTGGCCAATCCAGTCTGACTCTACTTTGGTGCTTGACTATGGACAGGTCTGTCTCCACCACGCCCCTCTCCACACTTGTTCCAAACCTGGGCAAGCTGTTCAGAACACCTAGTGCCCCCTCCCACTGTGGGGAGTTCACACCATGAGACCCCCTCCATGCCCTTCTGTAGAGATGTTCATCCCAACTCAGCCTGCACTCACCCCTCACCCCGGAACAGCTGCCCATCTGGCTCTCAAACAGTTTTCTCAAACCTGCTGGGTAGTCCATCTAGTCCCGTCCAAGGAATATCTTGTCAGTAAACAGCCTTTAATGCACTTCTGATGCACGCGTGGCATCATCAGACTCCATCTCTGAACCAAATTTTGGGTGGGGAATTCACCTCACTTTTGTTGTGTGGTCACAAAACTTTTGGTGAATTAGTTTGATATTTCTAGCATGGCACAGACTGACCTCCCTGAGTCCCTCCTTCCTGCCTAGGGGGTTGAAACCCTGTGGTTACTTAAGGACCATTTCTTTTTAGTGCACAGATTATCTCCAGGTGCATAATTGTTTTTAGCAACACATTGCCCTATACAAAACGGATGCAGTCATTCATGTCTATCTCTCCTTTGTTATTTAATTTGATATAAAAAGGTGAAGGTCGGTGACAAGGAAGTAGATGTGATGGGCGGTTTCAGACTCTACGTGACTACCAAGCTCCCCAACCCAGCCTACACCCCTGAAATAAGTGCACGCACCTCCATCATTGACTTCACAGTCACCATGAAAGGTCTAGAAGATCAGCTGCTGGGGAGAGTCATTCTCACCGAGAAGCAGGTGAGCGACGCCCAGTGACTTCCCTTGCTACATTGTTGCAGTTCTTTCATTGGTGAAATGCTGTGAAATAATATGATTGAAATTGTAGTAGGATTGAGCTCCCGCTTATCGCCCTCTGCTTTTTATATTAATTCCCAAGTGTCACTTACCTGCTATGTTACACTTGCATCTCATAAGTCACATACACCAGTTGATGGTATAGAGACGGATGGTGTATTCATGAGGATGTCTCATTTTCAGTACAATTATTCTGTCCTAAATTTTATGCTTGAAGAGTTCGTTCTATGGTGAGTTCTCACCTGTTGAAACTTGCCTTCCAGTATACATCTACGTCTTTCATTGGATTCATTATTAAGCTGTTGGCATGTAAAATAAGACGCTGTTCTCAGGGATGCACAACTCTGTCAGTTCTCCCTGGTCATCTGAATAGCCACTGTGTGTGTACCGAGTGCCAGGTCATTGCCTGGACCGTCTGTATAAGCAGGACTCTGTATCTGTTTTCTACTTCATGGGGTTACTTAATGCTCAGTGAAAAGTGGCTGATGATTTATAAACTTCCTTGTTCTGAGACATTTTCTTTAGGAAACACTTGGGTCTCAAGCAAAGAAATCGAGAGGATTTTAATGGGGCTGCCTTGGTGAAACCACATGAACTTGGAAAGTTGCTATTGATTTTCCCTTGGGTTCAATAACAATGAGAACTTAAGTTCATGGCTCTCTTCGCTATTGATTTCAGGATTTATTTAGGTTGGAATTATTATCAAAACCTTGGGAATTGACCCTTCCCATTATTTTTACCTTTTCACATGTTGTAAGTTCTGCGTGTTGTATGGTCTCTCTATATGTTGTATTTTATGAATGCAGGTCATCATGCTTGTCCAGCCTTTTGCATGTCTGTCACTTTCTCTTGATGCACCTATCTTTCCCCCCTTTATGGATCTTATGTATTTGTTTTTCAATTTATAGTGCATAAAGCATAGGATCAGGTAGTTAGAAGTTGCCTGAAGAGTATTCTGTTCAAATTTGTAGATCCCATGGTTGGTGACGTCAACACTATGGTGTTACAGTTGCTACCACAGACTAGCTACTGAAGGGGTAGAGGCCTCAGTCAGTTCTTGTTCAGTTTTGGAGTCTCAGTGGAAGTGGTTGTGGGAATTGAGCATGATCCTATCATCACTTTGTGAAGGACCGGGGTGGTCGACCAGCAGCCTGTCTGTTGAACAGGGACATCCCCAACACTCTCTCGTGTCCATTACCTGTATGTGAAGTCTGCCTTCCCCTGTGACTCTGGCAATCAGGGTGATAAAGGCCCTGATGGCATTTTGAATAATGTCCTTGTCCTTGGTCTTTTTACATTCAGCTGAGATGACCACCATCTCCTTGTCAAAAGCTAATTAGCCTGACCGATTCCAGTTGTACCGAAACAAAAGCTGAACAGAGCACAGAGGCTCCAGCACCGGGCCACACTATTGCAGCAACAGTGTGCTCTGCAGTGAGGTGCACTTTTGGTTCCTTTGGGAAAACTTTGAATTTGAGATCCAGGGGGTGGTCCCAGGTTGGGCATTTTCCTACCTCCTAAGAAAGTCAAGTATCTTTATTTCCCCCGTATTGTCTATTTATTTAGTTTTAACTGAGGTAATATTGATAATACCCCAATCAGGTTTCAGCAGTATGATACACCCACACCTTCTCGCCTGCAGTCCACCCCCACAAACCACTGTGCTCCCTTCCCTCTCTGTTCTTCTCCCTCCCCACCACCCTCTCCTCTTGGCCTGTTCTGTAGTCAGCTCTCAAGGGTTATTTGTTAAGCTTGTCTTTATTTGACTGTAACTTTAGTTACTTTATATCCCACATAGGAGTGATACCATCTGGTATATATCTTTCTCCTTCAGGCTTCCTTCACTTAGTATTATCCTTTCAGCTTCCGTGCATGTTGCTGCACATGGCATGAGAGTATCGTTTTTGATCACTGAGTTTTATTGAGAGCCCAGAAATAAAGCCGCATGTATGTGGAAGCTAACTGATGACAAGCAAGCCCAAAACATACATTGGAGTAAGGTGAGCTTCTTCAGTAAAAGGTGTTGGGAGAACTGGACAGCTGCATGCAGAGGAATGAAAACAGACCACCATCTCACACCCCACGCCAAAATCAACACAAAATGGACCAAAGTCTTGGATGTAAAACCTGAAACCATAAAACACAAAGAAAAAAATATAGGCAAACATTTTATGATAAAGCTTCAGTGCTGCCTTTAGGGATTCATCCCAAACAGCAAGGAAAACAAAAGAGAACATAAACAGCTGGGACTGCATAAACTATAAAGCTTCTATACAGCAAAAGAAACCATAACTAAAATGAAAAGACACCCTTCTGAATGGGAGAAAATATTTGCATGCCACACATCTGATAGGGGACTGATATCAAAGATATACAAAGAACTCGTTAAACTATGGAACCAAATAACCCAGTACAAAAGTGGGCAAAGGAACCAGTCAGATACTTCCTCAAAGGCTTTCAAACAGTCAACAGGCACAGGAGAAATGTTCACAATCTCTTATTATTAGAGAAATGCAAATCAAGACCACAATGGCTCACACCTGTGTGAATGGCCCATATAGAAAAAAACAAACAAGTGCTGGCAAGGAGAAAAAACAAAAAACAACCCTCCTACACTGCTGCTTGGAATATAAACTAGTCTAGCACTTATGGAAGGTGTCTCAAAACAATAAACATGGAGCTGCCATTTGACCCAGTAATCCAACTTTGGCATCTACCCCCAAAATAAAAAGAAACTTTAATTCAAAAGGAAAATTGCATCCTCATTGTAATTGCAGTGCCATTTACTATAGCTAAAGTATATTAGCTATAGAACAGTGTTATAGAACAGATAAGTAGATCAAGAAGAACTGGAGTATATATATACACACACACAGTGGAATATTATTCAGCCATCAAAAAGGAAAGTCGAGTGTCTTAAGGCGAGTATTCCTTAGCTATTTTGACCCGAGTCCATGCCAGGTGCACAGTAAGTAATTCTTTAAAAAATTGTGTCCAGAGTAACAGGCCACTCAATTTTTCATGAAAATAGAGGATCATCTTCCCTTGAGCCCCATTATCATGCAGCATGAATACTGCATCTTCTTTTCTCTACACAGTCTCATGCAGGAAGTGAGTAGCTGGATTGAATTTTGATGGATATGAAGTAGTATACTTCCTGCAGGAGGATTTTCTTTGGCAGGTTCTGTTCTTCCCACCAGTTCCTGAATCATGGACTGGGGTCAAACAGGTTGACTCCATCTCTGATGCTGGCAGAGCAGTTCCTGTCAGTTGAGAAGAGCCTGATACCATGCCTCACAGACGGCTCCTCTGACTTCAGTGACAATGCAGTCTGACGGTGCTCACTGCTCAAATGATTGTAAATCTAACACATCCTGAGTGTTACTGTTCAGGCTTGTTGGCAGCTAGGGACAGGCAGGCAGATGATGTTTAGCAGCATCTAAGAAGTTCCTTGAGATGTGGGATTGAAACAAATGAGGATCCTCTTTGGTCAGGATGAGTTGTGCCTTCACTGGTCTGTGAAGTCTTGTGAAGGCAGCCTGGAGCCATGACTTACAAGGAAGAATTGAGTCACTCTCCTTTGGTTCCATAACATCCTGGAAATGTGGGCAATGAGGAGCCTCGTTGACACGGGTGTTTGGTCCCTCACAGCTGTACAACCTGCCGGCCCCTCAGCCTTGTTTGCTGCAGAAGCAAATGGAAACCTCATAGACTAAAGTACGAAGTCTATAAATAAAAATAACTAACTTTACACTATCCCTGTGCAAGTGCCCGTGAAGCTCATGACAGTTGTTTACCTGATGCCCTGGGTGCAGACTGAACCAGTCTGAAGTGGCCAGCAGGAGATGATGTATTGGACCACGTGGGAAGCCAGTAGCCCCTCAGCAACTTCCCTTGACAGAAACCACGTTGGAGGCCACTCTCACCTTGATTCTGGAGAGCAAGACAGAAACTCAAAGAGAATTACTATTATTAGGGAAAAAATGATACCGTCTCATGGCTTCTTCTGGCCTCCGGGGTCATCATTGTTCAGAATGAGCCAACAGATGTGTGATTTCCTTTGGGGGTAGAAGGCCCTGAATTGGATAGAAATGATTTAATAAAGACTAAATAGGCATAGTTATCACCAGCTCACTGGTGGTGAAGAAATAAGTAAGTCTATTTCTGAGTTCTGTCATTTAGTCTTTCTGTTTTAACTACCAGTGTAGAGTCAGAGGTAAGGTACAGGAGAAAGACTCTTTGGGAATGAGAAGTGAGCACATACCGAAATATTTGAAGCCAGCATTGTGCCTAGTCTAGTCCAGCGGGCTGGGGAGCTAAGCCGTCTCGAGAGACTTGACCCTACAACAGGCTCCGCCTTGTTCTGGGAAACAGCTGAGCAAAAACATCCCGCCAGTGGGGAAAACACACTTTCTGCGCCCACTGGCGACCAAGGAGTCAGAAAAAGTAGGTTTCAGCACTCAGCGCCAGCCTGCCTCTCTGCAGTGCGCTGTGGACACCGAGAAGCCGTGAGAACGCAGCCTTTGCCTCTCTGGGCGTAGGCAGCAGCAACATCACCGTGGACTCGAAGGTGCCTCCCACTAAGAACACACTGTTGGGCCCTCCCTGGTGGCGCAGCAGGTTACAGCACTGTGAAGCTCTCACAGCCACCGCAGCTCGAGTTTGATCCCCGTCCAGGGAGCTGACCTACATGGCGCGGCAGACCCCTCCGGTCTCCCCGCTGCGCCCCTTGGCAGTTTATTTCAGTGCATCTCCCTGTTCTGCTCCCCACTCTCTCTGGTGAATCCTCTCACCACCACTCCTCTGGCCCTTGCACAGGGATAGTGTAAAGTTCAAATATTTGAAGCCCATAAATAAATCAATCTTTAAAAAAAAAAGAATACATTTTTGACATCAGTCACTTACTGTTCCCATCTACATAAACTAAACTCAGACTTGTGATTGGTGGGTCAGTGGCCACAGAGCAAGATCTGTAGGGTCGCTCCTGGGATGGGAGAACCATGGGAAGATCCGCTAAACCCTGTCTCACCACACGGAGACTTTCAGTCGTGTTAACAGAAGTCGGAACCACTGTCACCTCCTTCCTATGACTGATTTCAGCTTTGTGGAACGACAGCAACAGTGCATGAGATTGATGAAGATGGCCATACAATTATCTGAATTTTTCTCTTTTCATTTTGTCATCAGTTTATTTCCGAGTGTAACCATATGGTGAATACATTTATTTTAAGTGTTTATAGAAAGGAATCTTATTGTATCCATTAAATGTCACTTGTACTAATGCCTACATTATTTCACATCCTTTCTATGAATAAATGAATTAAATAAGCACTAAGGAAGTTTTCAAATGTTCCAAGTAACAGATGGAAGCAAAGATGCTAAGAGCAGGCTTTGCTTGACTTGCTACCTCTCAAGAGAATTAAAAAGTGATGCATGTACTCAGCTTTTGTTTTGTTTAAAGAGGGGATTTTCCCTTTCTTGAGTGTCCTCAGTCTGGCTCTCTGTGCTGGGGGATGAGCTGGGCAGGTGCCGGGCCAGGTCCTAACTGCTCCCCTGCAGTGATTCACTGGCTAGAAACAGGGCAGAGGCCCTCAGTGTTAGCCAGCCCCCTCAGGCTGCTTTGTTACCACAGCCTTTGTTTCTAATGTTTTTTAATTTGAAAGCCAGGATTTTCGTGTCTGTATTTCTGTCACCAAGACATGGCTAGTTTTCTAGCTGATGCATTTCAGACGATCAGTTTAAAATGCATGTTGCAGTGAGTTGTTCATTCCACAGCGCTAATGGCGTGACGACTATGTGAATTGCTCTTGAGTTGGGGAAGGTATCGGTGGGTGTGAGCATAGTGATAAATATGTTATCTTCATTGTTAGGACGAGGCAAATGGTGTTTAAAAACCAAACCACAGAGGAGGGAGAGAGGGAGAGCTAGGAAAATCGGGTAATGGGCTGTGACCTTAAACAGACTGGTCAAAGTGGGCTTCACTGAGAGGGTGCTATTTAGGGAAGACTGGAAGGAGGAAGCTGTGTGGAAGAATGTGCTGGACAGAACAACAGCAGGTGCAAAGGCCCTGAGGCAGCGTGTGTGTCAAGCCCTCAGCAGGCTGGTGCAGGACCCAGTAATCCACTCCCAACACATTCCCAGGGCCACTCGAGGACCCACCGCCCACTCGAGGACCCACCACCCACTCGAGGACCCAC